TAACGTGTATCGTGGTACAAAATGAACAAACGAGCACCCATTACTTAGCAAAGTCAATTAAAACCAAATTCTACTGCCAAACACGCTACATGGTCACGGTACATTGTTTGCACCTAGGCAACGATATATATACACAAATTCCCCCTAGGATGCAATCACTAAAGACTGTATTAACATGTATTCTGTAAGAAAATCAACAATAAACATACTGTATTGCCTAAAAATCACGAGAGGCATCCAAACCCAACTAGAAGGGCAGTTTGCCAACTACATGTAGGCCCGGCTGTCTCCCCAAATGTGTAAGTATACGAAGTTGTCGCGCTAGTAATAGGGGCCGAGTAATACGCGTAAGGATATATCAAGGTGAAGTGCGTAGTGACCTGGTTTGTACGCGAAGACACACCTCCAAGATGTGTAAGGTAATACCAAGTTTGGTAGCGGGCTAGGTCAATTAGGGGCCGAGTTATGAGCGGGAAGGGAAATTATGACCAGGTCAAGTAAAATCAAGATAAAGTCGCAGTGCCTGGTTTGGTACGCTGCTCACCTTCTCCCAAGATGTGGATAGTATACCAATTTGGTAGCGCTAGGTCATGGGCCGGTTAGGCGGAAGGGAAATATGATCAAGGTAAGTCGCAGTGACCTGGTTTGGCTAACTGCTCCACCTCTCCGCCATGAGTGTAAGTATACCAAGTTGGTAGGCTAGTCAATTAGGCCGGAGTTAGAGAGCGGAGGGAAATAGACAAGGTCAAGGTAAAGGTCAATAAAGGTCGCAGCTGCTGTTGGTACGTTTTCACCCTTCTCCCCAAGATTGTTTAAGATGCAAGTTTTCACGCTAGGTAATAGGGTCGCAGTTAGGTAGAGCGGAGAGGGAAATTCTCACTGCGCGGAGGCTGCTGAACATGAAACATAGAAACCCCCGGGCCGACTTCGTCACGGGGGATAGCAATGACGGGTTTGACATTGCAATCCATTAGATGTAAAATGTAAGAAAGTACATTATAATTACAACATGGCTTTCGCCGCATATTAATTTGGCAAAGAAACAAAAAATCACTTCACAAACAAGGAAAACAAATAAATAATAAGCATCACGACTGGAAAAGCACGAAGAAAACATCTCTTCATATACTTTGCAGAAACCAGTATTAGATTGATATGTGTGAGTATTGGTATCATAACCAATTGCCATTTACTAGCGCTGCAGCCGACAAATATACGCCTTGGTTAGAGACACAAAAAGAAGTCTAGTATTTGACACATGGCAACTTAAAAACTATCATTGGTTTCTAATGTACACACTCATACCTTTAAATGCAATTAAAATAAATTGTTCTGCTTTCTCCACACTGAACGAAAAAGTACTTGCACTCTAATGACATATATTTATTAAATTTTATATTATTTACAGAATAATAATTGGGAAGGAGTGTGACTCAATAACAAGGAAATTCGTCATTACTACCTTATAATACTACGATTAACGGCGAACTCATCCAACTTGAGCTCAAATCGACACAGTACATTCGCCTAGCACGTGCAAAATCGTTCCTCGATATACAGCCCGCAATCGAGAATACAGACTAAAACCGTACGACACAATTTCCATTCTGTTGGGCAGCCAAACTCTACGTGTTTTCGCCGAAATTTAAACAAAAGGCGCTACTAACGCTCGCGAATGCGGTTGCCGCTGGGAGATGCTGCTGATTGTGGTGGGCATCGTACGTGGGGGGCACCAGTTGATGCGGTAACTGCGGATTGCTGTATGTCGGGTCAAAGTTATCCTCGCGAGTGTTGGTCGATGTCAATCTCCCCAGCGTGTCACACGCAATCGCCGAGCGTTAGTAGCTGCCTTGTTAATATTTCGGCCGAAAACACGTAGAGTTTGCTGGCAACGAGAAGAAATCGTGTCGACGCTTTATCGTATCTCCGGATGCGGGGATACAGGAAACTATTTTCGCCGATCTGAGGCGAATCTACTGTGTACGAAAGTTATGACTCAAGTTGATGAGTCCGTAATCGAGTATCTAGGCATAAATGACGAATTTCCCTTCGTGTGATTGACGTATTATCACTCTGAAATATATATGCATATATAATATAGCCAAGTTACTATATATAATATAATATATGCATAAGCTATGAATTACCCTAACAAAGCAAAGAGTCTTGTCCGCACAATGTTGCTTCCAGTTCAATATAGGGGGGGGGATGTGCATTTCATTGCCTCTCAACGATCAACGATACAGCAGGTAGCTCCAGCCTGTGAGCATATCTGTCGGCAGCTGAGGCATGATGTAGGCTTTTACAACCGCATACTACAGAGAGACGACAATAGCACGCAAGGTCATTCACAAGCATTCAGATAATGCCGAGTGCATGCCATATTCCATATGTTAGCAAATACATGCGCGATAAAACCGGTCTTTGTAATTGGGTTTAAAAGTTGCAACTCGGAGCATTATATACGCTCGCATATCTAACTACTATGAGCTTGCAATGGAACATTTATACAACTCATTGTATGCTACTATCATAACTTTTGTTCTCAAATCTAAACGAAATTACAGCGACGACTCGGCTCGATTCATCTAACTCGAGTTCCTTTCTAAGATAAACAAGTTATATGATTCATTATTCGATGTATTCAGTCACAATGTAAATTGTTGTAAACATTCGGTATCTATATTACTTATGCAATCAGGAACAATATGTTTTCGTGCCAGGAATCAATTTGCACTAGTATAGGCACGCTAGTGTGTAGAGCATTAACCCGGCGTCGGGACGGCGAGATTGGTTGAAAATCCCAATGTTTGAGCACTACTCGGATCAATTAGGACTTTGGGATGTTTGCACTGTAGTATCCCAGGTAGGCATATTATAGGCTGTTGGCGTGGCTGAGTGTGGAGTTTATCCATTTAACCAAACAGATCTTCAGTGCAATAATTCAAGAGAGGACACAGGTTTGTACAGATAGGGAAATTTACGAGCACTGGGTGGACTATGGTGTGACGTGTGTAAGACAGAGACACGAGAGGGAACCACAAAATTATGCATGAGAATGCCAATGCCATTCTTCAGATAATAAGCGCTGAAAGGAGGTTCTTTTGGAACAGCCTGTGTGTGAACCCCGCAGCTCTGCCTCCTACAGTGTACAGAAAGAGTACAGCTTATGGCAGGCTCACAGCTATACTAATTAGGCCAATTACAGCAACAACGGTGCCAACCGTGTTGCTCCTACGGCTAGTGATACTGACAGTTGCAGTGAGAGAATCATAGATTATAGGAGTCACTGAACAGCCACTGAGCAATGCGCTTTGGCATGAGAGAAACATAAAATCTAGCACTTAATATAAAAGTTGTGCTTTACACCGACGACACTGCCAGCACGTATACTTAATTGGCATAGAATTCACACACTGACAAACTACATAAAATACTTCTTCTCACTTTGTTAGCATATGCGATGCACTGCTAAGACGCTCCCTACACTTTCAATCTAGTTTCTCACTGGCAACTAAGAATCGAGTTTTAACACTATCCTAACTGAGAGGGGTGGTAGATGCTACATCTGCCGCGCAGGTATGCGTGTTGCTATCAGGTACGACGCCGTTCCCGAAGGAACACTCGTCGGTCAGTCCACATGCAGCCCGTACTGCCGTTCCTAAGGCGTGCTTCGGATATCACCTGAAGAATCGTAATGGATGATGAGCTTTTTTGCAAATTACAATCTAATAGCAGTAATCACAAAACAAAAGCCCCCGAAAAATGGATAGATGCAACCAGGTGTGCATGCAACCAAATAGAATATGCACCTGGACTCATACTGTAACCCGATGACCCCCGAGCACCAGTTTGCTTGACCGACTTAAAGGCCGTTACTCCAGATCTCACTCCCGCCCTCGATCTGCTGCACAGCACAACGCTGTTAAAAACAAGCGGCGGCCGAGCCGTGCCCATGAAGTCAACAAACGCGAACGAGGCCGTTCGTCGTTAACCCCCCGTGACTTCCGTGACATGTCGTAACGAGTTCGCTTGTAGCGTGAATCCAAACTTGACCTGCCGACCTGCAGACTAGAAGCTCCGTCCGGTCGTCGACGTCAACTGTCGCGAACTTCGAGTGCGACGACGTGCTTTGCACCGCGTTGCCAGCTCGGCAGTCTGTACGTGAAACATTCTGAAAATCGCACATCGACAATCAGAAATCTTTACACGTGTCACCGATCATTTTAAATGCGCCTGACCGTTAATGCAGAATCGTTCTGATCATTCCGAAAGAATTGGTGCGAGTATTGCA